CAATTGAAGTGGAAGCTTATGATAGTGATCATGAAACTTCGGATCAAGTCACTACCAAACCTCATAGGTCGACAAGGATGCATACTACTTCAGAGTGGTACGTAATCCTATCTTGGAAGTCATGTTGCTAGACAACAATGAACCTACGAGCTATGGAGAAGTGATGGTGGGCCTAGATTCCGAAGAATGGCTCGAAGCCATAAAATCCGAGAGAGGATCCATGTATAAAAGAAAGTATAGACTTTGAAAGAACCACTTGATGGTCGTAAGGCTGTTGGGTGCAGATGGATTTTAAAAGGAAGATAGACAATGATGGTAAGTGTCACCATTAAGAAAGCTCGACTTGTCGTTAAGATGTTTCCCGACAAGTTCAAGGAGTTGACTACGATGAGACTTTCTCACTCGTAGCAATGCTAAGAGTCTGTTGGAACTATGTTAGCAGTTACTGCATTATTTATGAAATCTTGCAGATAGGATGTAAAAAACATTGTTTCCTCGACATTTTTATGAGGAAAGGTTGTATGTGATACAACCAGAAGGTTTTGTCAATCCTGAAAGATGCTGACAAGTATGCAAAGCTCCAGCAATCCTTCTAAGGACTGGAGTAAGCATGTCGGAGTTGGAATGTATGCTTTGATGAGATGATCAAAGATTTTGGGTTTATACAAAGTTTATGAGAAACTTGTATTTCCAAAGAAGTGAGTGGGAGCACTATAGAATTTTTGATGAGTATATGTTGTTAACATATTGTTGATCAGAAATGATGTAGAATTTCTGGAAAGCATGCAGGGTCATTTGAAAAGTGTTTTTCAATGGAAATCTGGATTAAGCTACTTGAACATTAAGCATCAAGATCTATAACGATAGATAAAAAACGCTTAATAGTACTTACGAATGAATACATATCGTGACAAGATTTTGAAGGAGTTCAAAATAGATCAGCAAAGAAGAAGTTCTTAGCTGTGTTACAAGGTATGAATATTGAGTAAGACTCAAGACCTGACCACGGCAGAAGAGAGAGAAAGGACAAAGGTCATCCCCTATATATGCTTTAGACGTAGGCTCTACAGTATGCTATGCTATGTACCGCACCTGAAGTGTGCCTTGCCATGAGTTATTCAAGGGGTACAAGAGTGATCCAGGAATGAATCACATGACAGCGGTCGAACTTATCCTTAGTAACTAGTGGACTAAGGAATTTTATCGATTATGGAGGTGGTGAAAGAGTTCGTCGTAAAGGGTTACATCAATGCAAACTTTGACACTAATCCGGATGACTCTGAGGAGTAAACCGGATTCGTATAATAGAGCAGTTATTTAGAATAGCTCCAAGTAGCGCGTGGTAGCTGCATCTACAAGATGACATAGATATTTGTAAAGCACATATGGATCTGAAAGGTTCAAACCCATTGACTAATAAACCTCTCTCACAAGCGAGATATGAACAAATCCCTTGGGTGTTGGATTCATTACAATCACATAGTGATGTGAACTAGATTATTGACTCTAGTGCAAGTGGGAGACTGTTGGAAATATGCCCTAGAGGCAATAATAAAATGGTTATTATTGTATTTCCTTGTTCATAATAATTGTCTATTGTTCATGCTATAATTGTATTAACTGGAAACCGTAATACATGTGTGAATACATAGACCACAACATGTCCCTAGTAAGCCTCTAGTTGACTAGCTCGTTGATCAATAGATGGTTACGGTTTCCTGACCATGGACATTGGATGTCGTTGATAACGGGATCACATCATGAGGAGAATGATGTGATGGACAAGACCCAATCCTAAGCATAGCACAAGATCGTGTAGTTCGTCTGCTAGAGCTTTTCTGAATGTCAAGTATCATTTCCTTAGACCATGAGATTGTGCAACTCCCGGATACCGTAGGAGTGCTTTAGGTGTACCAAACGTCACAACGTAACTGGGTGACTATAAAGGTGCGCTACAGGTATCTCCGAAAGTGTCTGTTGGGTTGGCATGAATCGAGACTGGGATTTGTCACTCCGTATGACGGAGAGGTATCTCTGGGCCCACTCGGTAATGCATCATCATAATGAGCTCAGTTGACTAAGTAGTTGGTCACGGGATCATGCATTACGACATGAGTAAAGTGACTTGCCGGTAACGAGATTGAACGAGGTATTGGGATAGCAACGATCGAATCTCGGGCAAGTAACATACCGATTGACAAAGGGAATTGAATACGGGATTGATTGAATCCTCGACATCGTGGTTCATCCGATGAGATCATCGTGGAATATGTGGGAGCCAACATGGGTATCCAGATCCCGCTGTTGGTTATTGGCCGGAGAGTTGTCTCAGTCATGTCTGCATGGTTCCCGAACCCGTAGGGTCTACACACTTAAGGTTCGGTGACGCTAGGGTTGTAGAGATATTAGTATGCGGTAACCCGAAAGTTGTTTGGAGTCCCAGATGAGATCCCGGACGTCACGAGGAGTTCTGGAATGGTCCGGAGGTAAAGATTTATATATAGGAAGACCAGTTTCGGCCACCGGGAAAGTTTCGGGGGTCACCGGTATTGTACCGGACCACCGGAAGGGTCCCGGGGGTCCACCGGGTGGGGCCACCTATCTCGGAGGGCCCCGTGGGCTGAAGTGGGAAGGGAACTAGCCCCTGGTGGGCTGGTGCGCCCCCCCTTGGGCCTCCCCCTGCGCCTAGGGTTAGAAACCCTAGGGGTGGGGGGCGCCTCCACTTGGCTTGGGGGCCAAGCCACCCCCTTGGCCCCCCCATCTAGATGGGATCTAGAGGGGCCGGCGCCCCCTGGTCCTTATATATAGTGGAGGGGAGGGAGGGCAGCCACACCCAAGTCCCTGGCGCCTCCCTCTCCCTCCGTGATACCTCTCCCTCTCGTTGGTGCTTGGCGAAGCCCTGCCGAGATCCCGCTGCTTCCACCACCACGCCGTCGTGCTATTGGATCTTCATCAACCTCTCCTCTCACCTTGCTGGATCAAGAAGGAGGAGACGTCTCTCCCAACCGTACGTGTGTTGAACGCGGAGGTGCCGTCCGTTCGGCGCTCGGTCATCGGTGATTTGGATCACGACGAGTACGACTCCATCAACCCCGTTCTCTTGAATGCTTCCGCTCGCGATCTACAAGGGTATGTAGATGCACTCCTCTTGCCCTCGTTGCTAGATGACTCCATAGATTGATCTTGGTGATGCGTAGATTTTTTTTTTAAATTTCTGCTCCGTTCCCCAGCAGAAAACATCAAGATGAAGTGGAGCGAGAGCTCTGAATCATCATGGACAATGATGAAAACATCACCAAGTAAGGCCCTCTCGCTCCGAAAAGTGGCTGCAGAGGCCGAGCTCTACTGAGCTCTATATACATTTCTCAACCAAAATACCTTTTCCATAACTGAAAAAAATCTAAAAAAATGTTTTCATGTAGACATATACTTAAATTATACGTGTACAAATTTTTATAAACATATGTATTCATATGTGGTGTATACAAAAAAGACAAATACATAGATTGAAATAGGCTTTTTCTTTGTTGTATTTGTGTCAGATTTTTGTCTTTTTTGTGTAGCATGCAAGTGATCAAATTAGTTACTGAAAATTTATACATACTTAAAGAATATGCATATGTATTTATACAAAAAAATTGGCATTTTTTGAAACTTTTAAATATATTTTGATTTTTTTTTTGGTAAAACGGGCTCCTTGGAGCACGGTCTCTGCGACGCCTCACTCCCTCTCTCGCCTCTCTCTCTCTCTCCCTCCGCTTGTGTAGTGCCGCTTGCGAAATAGGAATGACAAACCCGGTTGATAAGAGAATTAAAAGTAGAGAGGAAAAGAAGATTGCAACCGTCTAACTGCAACGGGCTGGCCCTCTCGGTCTTCGCTCTTTCTCTCGCCAAACCGGGTGGATAAGAGAATTTCAAATAAAGAGGAAAAGAAGATAGCAACGCTCAAAACGAAACGGGCTAGCCCGATAACAATTGCGCCCAGGAAAGAGAACGACAGCCCAAATCTTCGCGTTTTATCCAATGGGGATAAAAATCCGGATGTTGACGAATTAAAATTAGTCAAGTGAAAAATAACAATTCTTTTTTATTACATCTCTCTTTGATGTGTAACAATGATGGACTGTCATTTTCTAATCGCCACTATTGTGATATTTTGAAACTCTGAGAATGCAGTAGTGCAGAATTGATAGCACAGTGATATGGCAATATGACACAGTGATATTCTCATTTACAACTCCATTGCAGCCCAAGCTTTCTACATTTGCTTACAAGGTGCGTTCGTCCCTGGCAGTACAAAATAAATCATCCTTGTACATTGGAGGAATGGAAATGCACTCCCAAGTGATGAGGTGGAATGGTGGTCGAGCACGCATCCTATGCGGCCGAAGCTGGGATGTCGGCCGTGCCAGCGAACCATGGGCGAGCGGGCCGGTAGCACGCCTCACCCAGCAGGTCGCGGCGGAGCGCGTCGGCACGGCGCCTCCTCTTGTTGCTGCCGTCGTCGGGCGAGCGGATGAGGCATTCAGGGCGACGTCCGCGCCGGTGGCGCGATGGCGCGCCTTGACGACGACGCCGATCGAAGCCGCCCTTCCCGAGCATGTGCGTCAGCTCGTAGTCCTCGGTGCTCCCGATGCGCCATCTCTTGCGGGAGCCGGCGGCGTGGTGGTCGATCATGGCACCAATGGCGGCTTCGGCAGCGGCGACTCGCGAGACGGTGGCCATGGGGTTCCCGCCCCCTCTGCTGGTACAAGGCAAGTTTTCGTGGCGCGCGCGCAACGCATGGTGCGTGTTCGCCGCTGTTCAATCGGATTCCGGCCGACTGGAGCGAAACGCGCTTCCGAATTCGACCGGGAGTGGAGTATGGTCACCGCCTCGCCGGGAGATATAAGCTCCATTGGGGGCCTCGTGGTAGGCATTCCCAATTTCTCCATCCAATCCTCCCCACCTCTCCATCCACCCCAAGATCGATCACAGGAGCTCGCGGGAAAGCAGCCCCCATGGCCGCGCAGATGCTCCGCCGGTGGAAGAGCTTCTACGGCGCCTTCGACGCCGTGGACGCCGCCATCAAGGCCGCCGACCCAGACCAATTTTCACGCCACGTGTTCCAGCGCGCGAGGGGTGACCTGGTGCTAGGGCTCTGCAACGCCGCCGCCGACGACCAGGCGGAGCGTATCTGCGGGATTCTCGACGACCTCATGGCAGAGTCTCTCGAGACGCTCAGGGTGGTTCCATCAACGCCAGAGACGCCCATCTCCACGGAACTCGCCGAGTCTGTGCGCGCGCTGCGGGAGCACGACTCGGAGCGCGTCCGCCTCCTCGCGCGCGGCCTCGTGAGCGGGTGGGAGGCCTCCGTCCAGGACGACGTCGTCAAGGTCACACCAGCCATGCCAATGAAGAAGCCCAAGGCGACCGTCGGCCAGCAGCAGCGTGCCTGCGCCGATCCTGACGTGAAGACGAAGCGACCTCCCAAGATCGTCGGCGAGCCGTTGTCCAAGAAGACGGCAGAAATCATCAAAAAGGTGTCCGATCCTGCCGCCGGCTTCGTCGACGGTGACCGTGCCGGGTTCTGCTCGGAGGACAAGATGGAAGCCGCAAAGCGCAAGCTCCGGCAAGGTTACCAGGAAGCAGAGGACGCGAAACGGCGGCGCAGGACGCAGTTGGTGCAGGCGCCCAAGATGATGCAGCCCGCGTCTCAGATGCGGCCAACCAGGAGGTGCAGCAGCTCGATGGTGAAGAAAACCTTCTCGATCAGGACGCAGCTTCACATCGCTTAGGGCTCTAGCCAAGAAACCAATTGATCCATAACTAGTGTCCTTCTCGAAACATGCCATACTGCAGTTGTAACTAGCACCACTGCAAAGCAGCTGCTCGTAGCTCGTATGCACATGATCGAAAGAAGTTGATGAATTGAAAGCAGGATTTAGTGTTAAAAATCTCTGAAATCTGCGAAGAACTTGAAAAGAAATTGCTCGTCGTGGTGGAGAAAAGATGTGTTTGCGTTGAATTATATAATTCTGAACGCACCTAGCAATCAACAAAGCTCTCCCTTACAATTTTGAGTTCTCATGTCCGTGTTCAGACTTGAAGTCCAAGTTGCAATTTGAATTTAATCAAAATTGGCGAAATTCTCCTCTTGTTGTTTTCTTGATATACATCATGGCATTTTGAAGGTTATTTTTCTGCTTTTTAATTCGTCCCAAACATATCGATTTTTTTACTTTGTCACCAGGCATTTTATAAGAGGATGGCATTTTTATTATTGAGAGCATGGCGGGTTTTTTAACGACATGAAAATTTTATTAATAAGAGCATGGCATTTTATTAATAATAGGGTGGCATTTTTATTATTATGGTGATGGCATTTTTTTGTCATTAAGATGATGTCATTTTTAATAGTGAGAGGATGGTAATTTTTATTTTTAATGATATGGCAGTTTTTATTAACAAGAGCATGATTTTTTATATATAATAGGATGACATTTTTAATAGTGAGAGGATGGCATTTTTTATTTTTAATGGCATGGAATATATTAATAAGAGCATGGTATTTTTTTATTTATACTAGAATGTCATTTTTATTATTGTGAGGATGTCATTCTTATTATTTAAGATGTTTTTTTTAATATTGAGAGGTGGCATTTTTTTGCTGCCACTTTATTTTACACACAAGATATTTGAGTGATGACTAGGAACATGGCAACTTTTGTGGTGTTTTTTTCACTTTCCTGTTTTTTGTGTATGTCATTTTCTAAAAGAAAAACTATTTAATGGCCTAGGTCAGTTGGGGGGTCGTCATGGCCCTCCCAATGGGAGGACCTCCCCCGGCGAACAAATGCGTTCGACGGGGGCCTCCTCCTAGCGATCGATCGGCAACTAAAGGTGTCCTAATTTTAATGTAGAAAAGGCTATACTACAAAGAAAAAAATCCAGCTCTTGCCATCTTTCATGTAGAAGTAATATTTACAGGTGTACAAGATTGCCCTTCTATACATGAGGTGGCGACAATGTTCACATTCCAACCCCTCATTCAGTTCATATTTGCATACCAAGAGCACATAAGCAAGGGCTCGGAGACCCTGAAGCACCTCTCTCTATCCTTTCTATCACCACATGGCCCGCGATACCTGAACTTCAAACTAGAGACGCAGTGTACCACCATAATCTTGAGTGATGGAACCCCACAAGAGGAGGACCAAACAATTACTGGACGGGCTTTCACTCGATCGGTTTGACAATTCTGTGGACAAAAATGTCCAGAATCTGAATTACCGAGTTGATGTGTCTAGTTGCATCCAGCTTGCAAATTTATGTACATGTAGCGTAATTTACTCAAATATCAAAATATAGTAGACCTTTAAAACATAAATAAAAACAAGTATAAAGTTTATAATCTGAACAAAGATGAAGGTGGGTAAATCTATGGTTCCATCTAAAAACTAAAAAGATAGTTTATCCCTCAAGTTTGTGAAAGCCAAAAGTGATAAATCAAAGGACTCGAAGGCCATCCATAACAAATGCAGAGGTACATCTTAACAATGTCATCCACAAATATGCGGTCTTATCCTTAAGGAACTTGGAAGTCCCGCCAAGGATAGAAGCGCATATTAGAGACGCTCCGCAGGGTGGTTATCATTACAACGTACTATGTATTGAATAGATGAGAATATCAGATAAAGGCTTACACTCGCCACAAGCTACAACATGAATATATCAATACATCAATACATAGCAATCATCATACAGAAGAACAGAATTTGGCTACGGATGAAATCAAACGAAAAGAAGAAAGACGTCCCAGGCTGCCAACTGGGAACCCATCCTATGATCATCGAAGATGAAGAATTCCAAATAGAACAAGCATCGCTCTCACGTCAAAGTATCTCTTTACCTGTACCTGCACATGTTGTTGTAGTAATCTGTGAGCCATGTGGACTCAGCAATCTCATTACCATGGGTATCAAAACTAGCAAAGCTGTGGTGAGGTTGCAACAAGCACTAAGCATTTGTATGTGGCTAACTTACGAGTACAATAATAGGAAGATTAAACTACGCGTAAACGGAGGTGAACTAGCAGTGATCCTGAAAACCTATTTCTAAGTCATGTCATAACCTCACAGTGTTCTCCTCCCGAACTCCCTCGAAAAGAGACGATCATGGTTATGCACATGGTTGGTGTATCTTAATTGAGTTTAGTGACAAGTTCTCTACAACCGTATATTATAAATTTCCAAGTTGCCACATAATCATGAAAACGGCTTTCCGAAATATTTAACCCTACAGGGGTGCTCCAACTCGTCCATCATAAATTACCACAAGCTGTGTTGAAAGACCTTAACCTCGGGATGGCCCAAAGTATCCTCGGAATCCTGGTGCACAAGACGTTCGACTAAGGTAAAACAAAACTAGCAAGATTTCCCGACGTGCCGAAACCCCGATAGGAGCCGCGTGTATCTCGTTATCAGGCCACGATCGGATAGGTCAGCCTACGAGTAAAACCAGACCGCAAGTTGCCCCTTGGTCTGCCCGTTTTGGACCAACACTAATGAGGGCTAGTGTCCCGGGTTGTTTATTCATTATCACGGGGGCCGGAAAGTCCCTATGCAAGTTTTAGTAGGTTGGCGAATGGTAAAACCAATGTTGGGCCTTGCTGAAAGAGTTTTATTCAAAGACAAATTATCAAGGGGTTCCTCATAAAACCCCAAACATGTTAGAAGCGCTCATCAAGGAACATAACTCCGGTATATGAAAACTAGGGCATCATGAGTGAAACAAAACACCAGACAAAAGGCCGAGCCTTCCATACATTACCAAGTATATAGATGCATTAATTAAATAGAGAGATATTATGATATCCCATGATATTCATGTCCCAACATGGAACTGAAGGAAATATGCCCTAGAGGCAATAATAAAGTTATTATTTATTTCCTTATATCATGATAAATGTTTATTATTCATGCTAGAATTGTATTAACTGGAAACATAATACATGTGTGAATACATATAGACAAACAGAGTGTCACTAGTATGCCTCTACTTGACTAGCTCGTTGATCAAAGATGGTTATGTTTCCTAACCATAGGCATGAGTTGTCATTTGATTAACGGGATCACATCATTAGGAGAATGATGTGATTGACTTGACCCATTCTGTTAGCTTAGCACTTGATCGTTTAGTTTGTTGCTATTGCTTTCTTCATGACTTATACATGTTCCTATGACTATGAGATTATGCAACTCCCGTTTACCGGAGGAACACTTTGTGTGCTACCAAACGTCACAACGTAACTGGGTGATTATAAAGGTGCTCTACAGGTGTCTCCAAAGGTACTTGTTGGGTTGGCGTATTTCGAGATTAGGATTTGTCACTCTGATTGTCGGAGAGGTATCTCTGGGCCCACTCGGTAATGCACATCACTATAAGCCTTGCAAGCATTGCAACTAATGAGTTAGTTGCAGGATGATGTGTTACGGAACGAGTAAAGAGACTTGCCGGTAACGAGATTGAACTAGGTATAGAGATACCGACGATCGAATCTCGGGCAAGTAACATACCGATGACAAAGGGAACAACATATGTTGTTATGCGGTCTGACCGATAAAGATCTTCGTAGAATATGTAGGAGCCAATATGGGCATCCAAGTCCCGCTATTGGTTATTGACCAGAGAGGTGTCTCGGTCATGTCTACATAGTTCTCGAACCCGTAGGGTCCGCACGCTTAACGTTCGTTGACGATATAGTACTATATGAGTTATGTATGTTGATGACCGAATGTTGTTCGGAGTCCGAGATGAGATCACGGACATGACGAGGAACTCCGGAATGGTCCGGAGATAAAGTTTGATATATGGGATAGTAGTGTTTGATCTCCGGAAGGGTTCCGGAATTCATCAGAATGGGTTCCGAATGTTTCCCGAAATGTTTGGGCACGAGAACACTTTATCTGGGCCAAAGGGGAAAGCCCACGAGGCTTTTGGAAAGTGCAAAAGGAAGTTTTGTGGAGACCAGAGGCTAGACGCCAGGAACCCTGGCGTCTAGGGGGTAGACGCCGGGAACCCTGGCGTCTAGCCTTGGAGTCCGAGAAGGACTCTTGCCTTTCGGGTGAAACCGACTTTGAGGAGGCTTTTACTCCAAGTTTCGACCCCAGGGCTCAACATATAAATAGAGGGGTAGGGCTAGCACCAAAGACACATCAAGAAACACCAAGCCTTGTGCCGGCAACCCCGTCCCCTCTAGGTTATGCTCCGTCATAGTTTTCGTAGTGCTTAGGCGAAACCCTGCGGAGATTGTTCTTCACCAACACCGTCACCACGACGTCGTGCTGCAGGAACTCATCTACTACTTCACCCCTCTTGCTGGATCGAGAAGGCGAGGACGTCACCGAGCCGAACGTGTGCAGAACTCGGAGGCGCCGTGCTTTCGGTACTTGGATCGGTCGGACGTGAAGACGCACGACTACATCAACCGCGTTGATATAACGCTTCCGTGAACGGTCTACGAGGGTATGTAGACAACACTCTCCCCTCTCGTTGCTATGCATCACCATGATCTTGCGTGTGCGTAGGAAAATTTTGAAATTACTACGTTACCCAACAGCGGCATCCGAGCCAGGTTTTATGCGTTGATGTTATGTGTACGAGTAGAACACAAGTGAGTTGTGGGCGATATAAGTCATACTTCTTACTAGCATGTCATACTTTGGTTCGGCGGTATTGTTGGATGAAGCAGCCCAGACTGACATTACGCGTACGCTTATGTGAGACTGGTTCTACC